GTTGTTAACCAATGTCATAAAACAATATGTGTACTGACTGTTTAATGAGAAACTACTTGTTCTGTAAACCTTCACCTGAATTAAAAAAAAAAAAAAAAAATGAATAAGAGTACACACTGACTACAATGTTGCTTTTAAGGAATTCTTGGCTGAACATAAATCATAATCCCGATCATTCATCATGAGGACAATCTCCAACATCTTACACAGTATAAAGAAACTACTAACAAAGGAAAAAGTAACACACATTCCTAATACCAAGGTTCTGATATTTATTCGTTTACTTAAAAATCAGTTGAGCATCTACTATGTGCCAGGCACTATGAACAGAATACAAACTTTTCAAACAGTTTAAAATTAGCCCATTCAAGAGTTAGAAAAAAATAAACACAATGAACTAAGGCTCGCTTCCTCAAACACCCTTTGTACAAGCATTAAGCTTATATGAATGCTAACCAGTAGTTGTATTTTGTGTTGCTTAGGAGCTACCCTGAGGAAAGGGATGTTAGGAACTGTTTTACCTGTCCTCATGACTTCCAGTACGAACATCCTTCATGGCAGCAAATCCACAAGGCACTCTAGCATATTTATTTAAATTGTCAATAAGTGTTTTCCCTACTTCAAGGTAGTAAGGATCTCCTGTAGCCTATTAAAAAGGAGAATATATATATATATATATATATATATGTTTGTATATATAGCTTATATATTACCATATACCCATTTATTTAGCAAATATTTACAGAGTACCAACTGGGTGCCAGGCACTGTATCAGGCACTGGAACTCATGTTACACAGAACCTAGCTCTGAAAATAAGCCATGGATCTGCTTTAGAGCATTTCTTAAATACGTAATGGAAAACTGTCCAACTGTATACTTAACCTTTAGATTAAACTTCTAATGCCCAGAAAGGCTGCCCAAATGAAGGAAGGCAAGACACATGCTTTAGAAAGAAGCTCTAGAATATAACATTTCTCTTTAAACACGTTTAGATAACTATTTTGAAAAGACAAAAAATGTGGATAGCAACTCTTGCATTTTTCAATAATCCTAAAGGCCATGATATAGCCAAACACTGTAACATAACATTAAACAAAGATTCTGAAAACCCAGTTACTAAAATAGTGACATATCAAACAGAGAACAGGGGCTAAATAACAAAAACAAATTATCTTACTTTATATAAGAAGTAGGTACTTTCTGCAAATTCAGGCCTTAAAGGATGTTGAGCCCAGTGTACCCGGAAATCTGTTGTAAACGCCTAAAGACAGCACACAAATTACGTGTAAAAAACATGATTAAAAAAATATAGTTCTAGAATATACAGTATTATATAAATTAGATCATAAACAAGGTAATTAAAACATCCATCATGACATAATTTTCTATAAAACACCAATTTTCACTGCTTAATGTCACAATTCAATTTTGCAAAGGCTGCTATTTTTTACCAGTGAAATGGAATTACTTTTCAAAACAATCATTTTGGCTTTTAGAAAACTCAGAAAAAACTATGAAGCTGAGTAATGCCACTACATGGGTCCTATGGTCTACATAATTGTTTCTTCTTTTTCCTTGTCTTATTACTTCACTGGTTCTCGTATTTCCATTTTAGCAAGGTCATATACAAATTTGGAAAATGTTAATGGTATATTTCTGGAAAGCCAAAAAAGTATGCTATTAAAAATCATGCCATATCAAATACCGAGAATATTCATTATCAAATACCAAGAATATTCATTACTAATATAATGTATATAAATCAGAAAGCGCAATTTTCAATCCACATGGGCAAGAGCTGGCATTCTCCAAAATAAAAAAGGGATGATCTCCCTAGCTGGTGGGTACATGTAAAATCGGAATGAGATAACCTTATAACAGTATGGATTAGAAAAGGTTGAAAAAAATGGTGTTTTTTTTTTTTCCTTTTAAGTAAAATTAATAAAATGTCAGCATTACCTTAAACTACAAGGAAAAAAAAAGTTGCTGTTGAGTCTACTCTGTCTCATGGCGACCCATGTGTGTCAGACCAGAACTGTGCGCCATAGGGACTTCAATGGCTGATACTCCTAAAGTAGATCACCAGGCCTTTCTTACAAGGCACCTGTGAGTGGACTCAAACCTCCAAACCTTTCCATTAGCAGCTGAGTGCATTAACCATCTGCACCACCCAGGACCTCCTACTCTGAACTAGACTTCTTTTAATACATGAGGGAAAGTAAAAACATATACAATACTGTATAAACCAGAAAATAAATTAAATAAATAAACTAACTAGGAAAACATAAATTAAAAAGAACAAACAAGCCTTAAAGATGACATTTTCTACCTCTGAATTAAGGTGCCCAGCCCTGGTAGCACAGTGCTTAGGAGTTTGGTTGCTAACCAAAAGGCTGGCAGTTTGAATCCATCAGCTACTCCTTGGAAACCCTATAGGTCAGTTCTACTCTTCCCTATAGGGTTGCTATGAATCAGGCTTCATGGCAGTGGGTTTTTGGGGCCTTGATGGTGCAGTGGTTAAGCGCTCAGGCTGCTAACCAAAAAAGGTCGGCAGTTTGAATCCACCAGCTGCTCCTTAGAAACCCTATGGGGAAGTTCTACTCTGTCCTATGGGATTGCTATGTATGAGTCAGAATCAACTCAATGGCAACGGGTAATGGGTTCAGGCGGCACAATAGTTAAGTGCTTGGCTGTTAACTGAAAGATTGGTGGTTCAAACCCACTCAGCAGCTCCATGGGGATCTGCTCCTGTAAAGATTACAGCCTAGGAAACTCTATGGAGCAGTTCTACTGTGTCCTATAGGGTCGATATGAGTCGGAATCGACTCCACGGCAAACAACAAACCTCTAAATTAGCAACTTACATAATGTATGTAAAATAGAATTCCAAAGATTATTTGCTTACCTCTGGTAGAAAATTGTGTTTTTTAATCACCTGATACAACATTTCATGAGTTTCAATAGCAGGTCTAATATCCCCCTTTAAAACCTAGAAGTCAACAACAAAATTACCTAATAAAATGTAAGTTGATTTTATCTATAAACATATAAAGGGAAAAATTAATATAGTTTTGAGATGTAGCTGTTTTAGTAATTCAATTTTAGTGATCACAAATGTACTTAATTACAGTCATCTTACTTTAATATTAAGAAAACAGCAGAATTCTTTTTACCTGTAAGCCTGGAAAAAAGGCAAGCAAAGCATCCATCCAAGTCCGAGCATTCAGCATTGGTTTGTGGATATGCACATCCAGTAGAAGAGGTGGCTGGCTAATGTACCTCATTATGGCATCATAGTGCTAAAAGATCATAAATAATGTGTGTTCATGAAAGCAGATGAGAAAAGAAGTACTATTTTAAACATATTACACTAAATAGTACCACAAAGAAATTAAATTTATACACAAAGAGAAGGATGTAGAACATAATTCTAACTCACAAAAAAAAAGACCAGATTTACTGGCCTAAAGGAGACTGGAGAACCCCGAGAGTATGGCCCCCCCCACACCCTTTTAGCTCAGTGGTGAAGTTATCTCTGAGGTTCACCGTTCAACCTGGAGTGGACAGCCCCGTAAAACCAAATGAGACTAACGAGGTACAGGAGTCCAGTGACAAGGGCCAGAAAGCAGAAGGGGACAAGGAAGCTGGTGATAGGGAACCCAACGTTGAGTAAGGATATTGTTGATGTGTTGTGAGATTGTTAACCATTGTCATAGGGCAACATGTGTAGTAACTGTTAAATGAGAAACTGTTTTGTTCTGTAAGCCTTCATCTTAAGTGAGAATAGCAGCACGATTGGAAGAGTGTAGGCAACATCACTGAACTGTGCATGTAGAAATTTTTGAAATGGTGTACCTTTGGCTATGTGTATTTTCACCAAAAAAAAAAAGGTTGAGAAGTTAGAGGGTTGACATGTTGTGGGGTTGTTAACCAATGTCATAAAACAATATGTGTACTACTGTTTCATGAGAACCTATTTGTTCTGTAAGCCTTCACCTGAAGTACATTAAAAAAAAAGAAAATTTAAATAATTATAAGTAACTATCGATTAACTATTTAAATATTTAAATTATTTAAATAACTATTTAAATATTTAAATTACTTCAGATGAGAATCTTTCTAAAATATATATGCTCCCTTGTTTTCTTTAACTCAGATGCAGAATATTAATCACTATACTAATATGGGAGCTTCTGAGGGGAGGAGATCTGAACACTCCTTTCCTGTGGTATTAGCCCATGGCTAGTATGCCTTGTGGCCCAATGATGCTGTTGGAATAGAGATACAGGCTTCTATTTTACAATTATTCTAGTTTTCTCCTACGTCTAGTTACTAACTCTGTCAGCTAATGTAACGCTCTGGTGTTCACCATCGCCTAAATTAACGTGTCTAATCACTGCTGCCACTCTTACGGCTTGCTATCTTTGCTTTTCATGCTCTTAGAAATTCTTTTATGTTTCTTGTCTTCTTTGCTAGATATTTCTCAGTTTTCACAACAAGAGGCTGAGCTGGGTCAATGAATGGTAACAAGCCATGAAAAATAGTATCTGTCCCCATTTGCCTCAAGAAAATCTTGTCAGAATCTAAACAGTACATGTGATGTTGCTTTTTCAAGCTTTCAAATGATGACTTATTAAGACTTTTACTAGTTTTCTTTGTCGAACTTATCTGTTATTAACTATTACTGAGTGCCTGCGATATGTCAGACATTATCCTATGTATTTCATATGCATTAGGTCATTTAATCCTCTGAATAACCCCATAAGGAGTACTAGTATTCTCATTTTGCAAGTGAGGAACAGAGGCAAATAATGTAAGTTACTTGCCCAAAACCACAAGGTGGTAGAACAAGGATTTAAACCCAGGCAGGAAAATGCCTATACTTTTAACCACTACATAGACTGTCTCACAGATGTACTGTGGGCAAATTGACGGCTAGGCAACAAATGGTAAATTATTTTAAAAAGAATGTAGTTATATAGCTGATGAGTCTGCTATATTAATTTCAGTTTGCTTCACTTACAAAAAAAGGCAATTCAATTTCAGTTCAATAATCTTCCCCTTCTCCCAAGAAATACGTCTATACTCCTGATCCAGACTTAAGATTTACAGACCTGCTTTTGAAATGAACATTCACTAGTTTCTCCAAGTCTCCAAGGCCCTGTATACTTGGACTAGGCCAAACTTCCAACATATCAAAAAGAATTGGAATTCAAAGGAGAAAGTTAACTAGTAACATATTCCAATAAATTCTCTTAGTTGTACAAAAGAAGATTAGGTAAAAACGCAAATCTACATATTTTACCATCTATCAGCAGACTGGAGAAAATTCTGATAAGAGATGAACATGTTGTTGTCTTTAGGTGCCATCGAGTCAGTTCCAACTCACAGCGACCCTCTGTACAACAGAACGAAACAATGCCTGGTCCTGTACCATCCTCACAATTGTTGCTATGTTTGAGCCTATTGTTGCAGCCACTGTGTCAATCTATCTCGTTGAGAGTCTTCCTCTTTTTCACTGACCCTCTACTTTACCAAATGTGATGTCCTTCTTCAGGGATTTGCCCAGAAATTGTAAACTTATTTTTGGAATGTTTGAAGCTATTACTGTCCTTGCCCAACATCATCAGAGAATACCGAGAGAAAACTACTACGCATTTAAAAACAAATAATTTTTCAGAATGTCATTCAGGTAATTGAATTTCTCTCCAAATCTGGCACTCAAATTAAACTGGCTCTAAAATTAATATAAAATTGGAACAACTTACTGTATTAAATCTTTCCAGAAAACTGTCATCTCCAAGCAAGACATAGGCTTTCAATAGATATTCATAATATGAATCAATCCCTGCTCCAACTCCACTATCTATGGAAAATACGCATAAATGTGATTCTTCATTAAACAAGTCTTTAAAATTCTTTATAGATTACAAGTGAGGTTAACAGTACACTAAGAATGGAAAATTAGTCTAAACATGAAATTGTCTGTTTAAAGTGAAAATTACACATTTATAAAAATATTAACCTTACAATATGAGTAATACTTTCTGTGCTAATAACAGTTTGTGTGTTTAAAAAAAAAACTTACTTTGAAAAACTGTATTTAAAGAAAGTGAAATGACAACTTATAAACCAAAAGATGCTATCTTTAATACATACAATGGACCAAGAATTAATATCAAGAATATATAAAGAATTCTTGCAAATCAGTATTTTTTTAAAAAACACAACTAATCCAATAGAAAGCTGACAAAAAAAACAAGAACATCCGTATCAAAGACAAGGAAGCATACTGGCCAATAAACATGAAGATGCATCCAACATCATTAGGATCAGGAAATGCACATCAATTGGGATATCATTTATATACCCTATTTGATTGGCAAAAACTTTAAAAGTCTGACAATACAAAGTATTGGAGAGGATGTAGATCCACAGGATCTCTTATACATTGCTGGTGAAATTATTAAGTGGTACAATAACTTTGGAAAACAATTTGGCATTATCTCCTAAAGCTGAACACTAATTTACCCTAGGAGCAAAATTCCACTCCTAGCTATGTAGTCAAGTGAAACTTTTATACATGTACAACAGAAGACACAAGAACACTGAACAGCAATACTATTCACAATAGCAAAATCCTGGCAACAACCTCAATACCCATAAACTGCAGTTTATTCAGCCAACGGAATATTCAAAACAACGAACTACAACATCATGCCACAACACACGTGAATCTTAGCAATATAATATTAAGTAAAAAAGTCTCAAGTTTACATAAGACAAGATATCCTTTTGTAAAGTTTAAAACAATAATACATACTGTCTTAGTCATCTAGTGCTGCCATAACAGAAATACCACAAGTGGATGGTTTTAACAAAGAGAAATTTATTTCCTCACTGTCAAAGTAGGCTAAAAGTCCAAATTCAGGGTGTCAGCTCCGGGGGAAGGCTTTTTCTCTCTGTCGGCCTTCTCCTCATTGTTCCCCCAGACTAGGAGCTTCTCGGCACAGGGACCCCGGTCCAAAGGACGCGCTCTGCTCCCGGCACTGCTTTCTTGATGGTATGAGGTCCCCCTGTCTCACTGCTCACTTCTGTCTTTTATATCTCAAGAGATTGCCTCAGGACACAATTCAGTCTTGTAGATCCAGTCCTGCCTTACTAACACAACTGCCACCCATCCTCCCTCATTAACATCATAGAGGCAGGTTTACAACATACAGGAAAATCACACAGTACCAGGATCATGGCCTAGCCAAATTGGTACACACATTTTCTGGGGGACATAATTCAAACCATGACACATACCATATATTATTATTATTATTATTATTACAAGTGCTCATTAGTGAGCACTTATTTCACAGTATGGGTAGCACATGCCAGGCATTCGTCTAAGCACTTTATAATGGTTAATTCATTTAATCCTCATAATAACTATATGAAGTTGGTACTATTACTGTTCCCACTTTACAGATAAAGACAGACAGGCACACAGAGGTTAAATAATCTGCACAAAATCACACAGCAGAGTTGAGATTTGAACTACAACATGGCTCCAAAGTCTCTGCTCTTAGCTACTATACTATATTCTACTTCTGGAGGTTGGGGAAGGGGGACAAAACATAAGGATGGAAGGTTAACATTATTAAATGCAGATTCTCACTCAACTACATCTTGATATGAGATGGCTGAGGCACTCTGGTCCTCAAAGAAAATTAGTTTTAGTTATTTCATCTATATCCTATTATGTCATCTATAATGCTATACCCATCAAGGCATGGAACAGAATTCTAAATCATCTAGATTAAGCGTGCCATTATTTGGCACCAAACAAGAAAATCGAGTTAAATAAAATTCCATCAATCTGGAAAGAAACTAGGCTTTATACTGTCCCAGATTGTTTTAACAAACAAAAACCCACTATTTCCCAACCATTTTGAGGTTGTGAAGGCTTAATTTTAAAAGTTCAATTTACATACCTTTGCGTACCCAATCTCCAGTATGAATGTTAATAGTCACACCCACTAAATTACTACTTCGCTGTCTTTTTTCCCAGAGAAAATCAAGAGCTTTCCTTGCATATTCCTATAATTAAAAAAAAAAAAAAAGAAAAGCAAACTTGAAGAACTGCACATGATTAACAAATAGGCAACAAAGAAACAGAAAATCAAAGGCCCACAGAATACTTTAAGGATTAAGTAAAATTCCTAAAATAACCATTTATAATATATGTTAAACTTTCCTTACAAATCCAATCTTGTTTCTTTTTCAGCCATTCAATTCTAGTTAAAAAAAACAAAAAAAAAAGACCCTGAAATGGTATTTACGATCTCACTTTGGGACTGTCCTACTCATCTACTCTTGTAACACAGGTTCAAATTCGCATACAATGCATTATTAGATATTAATTACTTGCATCATAAAATGTGCTTCTTAAAATAAGTTCCATCATTTAAATGCAAAGTGAAAATCTCCTTAGATACTCCTATTTAGAAAATCAGCAGATGATTTCTAATTTGGTATGCTGTTTTGAAACACAGACAGACAGTTCAGATTCTACTTTTCAAATAGCATGCAACTTTGTTGGTGAAAAGTCAGTAAATTAACTAGGCTAATGAGTATTTATTTGATAATACCAAACTTATATGCTTCTGATAACATTTTATTTTCTTTCTTTTTTTCATTTATTTTTATTCATTCAACATTAAATTAAAATTATTTCTAATCAAATTCTTGGTTTTGTATAAAAAGATGTTATAAAATGTAACAATAAAGCACATATACAGGTAAGTTGAAATTAAAATTAATTTCAGCACATAAACCTACACACCATTGCAGAAGTACTTCTATAAAAGAAAAAAAAATCATTAAACCAGTTTGTGGCTTTGTAGATGTAAGAGTACAGTAGTCTCCCCTTAACCACGGTTTTGCTTTCCACAGTTTCAGTTACCTGCGGTCAACTGCAGTCCAGAAATAAGCAATTCATAAATTTTAAATTGCGTGCAATTCTGAGTAGTGTGATGAAATCTTTCACCATTCCCCTCTGTCCCACCCAGGATGTGAATCAACCCTTTATCCAGTGTATAGTTAATCTCTTACTGTGCCTAATTTACGAATTAAACTTTATCATAAGTATGTATGTATAGAAAAAACATAGTATTTATGTATAGGGTTCGGTACTATCTAAGGATTCAGGCATCTACTGGGGGTCTTGGAAAATATCACAAAGATTATATTTCTCAATTCTTATTTTACAGACAAGGAAACAGGCCCAGTAAAATTAAAGATTTAACCAAATTTTAAAAGGGAATTACAGTACAACTAACATGAGAATTCATATCTCTTTATCTATTAGACCTAGGGTCAGTAGAGATTTTCTGAAAAGGAACAGATAGTAAATATTTTAGGCTTTGTGGGTCATACAGTTTCGGTCACAATTACTCAAACTCTGCCATTGTAGCACAAAACAGCCGTAGACAAAAGTAAACAAATGAGCACGGCTGTGTTCCAATAAAATTTATTTACAAAAACAGTCAGTGACCATACTGTAGTTTGCCAACCCTGTATTAGTCTGATGCTCTTTCAATTGCATCAAGCTGCTTCTCAGACAATAAATTATTGTATAATTCAACAGTAAAAAATCATCATTTTCAACTGATTTACTCATAAATACGTCATAGCCTAGTGGAAAGAGTACAGGCTTTGAATTCAGATAGACATGGATTCCAATTCCACTGATTCACTCACTAGCTGTGCAGGGCTCTTTAAGCTTCACTTTCCTCACCTACAAACGGATCAATATCTCACAGGGTATGCAGTGCAAATCAGAGTGTACGCAAAATGCTGACTTTTTTAATGAAAGGAAAACATTAGTAAGTAAGGTATGGAATAAAAATTTAAAAGATTAGCCAATCAGACATGATAAACTTGTCCTCAAGACACTTTGAACATAGAGACATCTATACAGACGCACACATACACACAAAGACCATTTGACTTGGTTTATTTATATTCAGATCCAATGTTTGTAATGCTGGTGTATTTTCCCTATTTCTGCTTGCCCATGTGTGCCATTTGCTGAATTTTTAAAAATTCTTCTAAGTCATATGTTTGAAGGAAAGGGTTCTTAATTGTTACTACTGTACTCCAATGACATGCTTAAGCAATTAGTTAGAATAAAAAATGTGAGACATAACTAGTCCACAGCCAACTGTCTGGGGAATATTAAGTCTTTTGGATAATGAATAACATTTCTCTTAGAGTAAACAAACTTACAGATTAGACTCCCAATCAAGACTTAGTACAAAAAATTTACTATATTTTAGAAAACTGATGAAAGTTTTAGGAATGGAATAGACTAGAACTGTAGCAAATAAAACACAGAAATGCACAGTATTTCAATAAGACATTTATGATATCAAGGAGCCACCAAGGTCATATAATTAGGTTAAAAAAAAAAAAAAAAAACCTAAGAATAAACCTAAAAATAGACTTGGTGGTTTGTGAACAAAATGTAGTTATACTTAATATAGCTACCTCACAATGATTTCTATGTTTCTGACATTAAAAACTATGTGATAGGATTTAGACAAAAAGTTCACTACAATAACAAAGTAATTTTCCAATTAATAATACTAACACTTGACCAGTGAAGAAAGGATGTAAAGTTAGCTATACCCAATACCCAGAAGATCAAAGACCATGAAAAGCAAACCTCAAATATTGTTGCTCCTGTGAATCGACTTAAAGCAGCAAACTCAAGGATCAAGGTACCTGCACAAGCTGTACAGGTATCTGTCTCAGTTCCTGTCCGAGCTTCCGGCTTTCGGATTCCAAATTTTAAATTAATCTAAACAAAATCAAAAGATTACCAAGTGCAATTATCAAGAGATAGACTTCTTAATTTAAAAGAAGACTTTTCAATCAAGACTTTTTATCAAATCATGAAAATTCACAGCTTGACAATGAAATTCAATCTTCCTGGGTTTCCAATTAACATCTAGGCAAACATATTCTAAGCACATAATATTAATGGAGTAAACAAATTTTTGTTTAGTTCCTTCCCCAAAATCAAAATTCAATATTATTATAACAATTACACAGAAAATACCTTTTATATCAATTTTGTTCTCTAGACAGTTTGAACTAGTTAGTACAAGAATAAGAAACTAGACCAGTCCTAAAAGAAATTAAATTTGAGAATTTGAGAGGAACCAGTACTTATAGTTCATCATAGAGAATACTGATTAAGTTACAGTATATATTTAAAAGGAGATTAAAATTTTGTTTACAAGTTTCAAAAATTTTGAAATATACAGTATACTGCCTTTCTGGCAAGCTAACAAATAACACAGGAAATATTTTCTAAACATTTCAAAGACAGCCAAATATACTACCCTACAAACCTGGATTAACTAATTAAAACTAGAATGTTTTTCTACAGTCCAAATAACAAGAAGGCAAGTTTATGCCAAGGATGTAGCATAACAACAAACAGAAAATCAAATACAGAACACCCTGAGTTTGATCTTGGGTCAGTTATTATTCAAACTCTTATAAAGAGAAGCTCAAATAGATTTATATTTCAACTGACTTGCAGAATGCAATTGCTGGATATGTCTGTTAACAGTGTCCAATTAACAAACTCTAGCAATTTCTAAACAAGGAGACAGGAAAAACACCCACTCCACAACAATAAACAAGTGAGATGTAGGTGAGACATGGGGAGTGGATCGCCATAATGGCTTCAGTTCTGCCACTTTATCTTACTTCTTAGAATGTCACTTGAGGCATTTATACCAAGTTTCATATTTTTTAGGCGCCCTGGTGGCGTAACAGTTAAGTGTTCAGCTGCTAACCAAATGGTTGGTGGTTGGAACCCACCCAGCAGCTCCGTGGGAGAAAGACCTGGCAAACTGTTCCCATAAAGATTACAGCCAAGAAAACCCCATGGAGCAGCTCTACTTTGTCATGTGGGGTCGCTATGAGCCGGAATCAGCTCGATGGCACCTAACGATAACAACCATACGCTATCAGCCTAACCACATCCCTCCACTCCCACCCAAACTCGTAACTGTCTCTACAGATTGCATATCGGGAGGAGCAATCAGTTTTTGGTAGTCCTGTACTATGAACAATACTGAAAACTATCCTGTCCCCTTATGCTGCCTATATCCCCACCTACAGAACTAAAATTAAAAACTGATACTAAGAATAATGAACTTAAAAATTAAGCAATCCTCAATGATGAAATACAGATTTAATTATACTAGTTACATGAAGGTAAAGTATAATCGTTTTTATAAATATTTTCAACAAGAGTCAATAGGAAAACATTTTCTGGTTAGTCGTATTAATTACTGCAATCAACTGATCAATATTTATCAAGTACCTACTATGTGGTGGGCATCATAATAAAATACAAAGAAATAGAGAATATTCTTGCCCTCGAAGAGCTTAAAATTCAGACAGTGCAAATAAGACAGATAAGTAAAAAGAAGATAACTAATAATGGAAAGTCGTAAGTGCCAAATAAAAAACCAGGCAACAAATGCTAATATCTAAAATTCAGAAGAGGAAATATTACTGGATTGGATTGGGCATAGTTGAGAGCTCAGAATGTAAAGGTTCAGGGGGTAGCCAGGGAAAGCAAAACCAAGAGAGAAAAGAAGAAACTTTTTTATCCCATTAATATCTTTTCCCTAAAAAAAAAAAAAAAAAGAATAGAAATATTTTCTTGGAAGCATCAAATTTTTAGTACATCAAAAATATTTAAGATGTTTGTATACTGAATTACAGCCTTAACTATTCCAAGATGATTACTACAAAATTATGCAAAAGGATTATTTAACACAATTGTCTATAGTACAGATCATTTCAATCCTTACAATCTTGTACATTGAAAATAAAAAAAAAAAAAAGTTGCCCCCGAGTCAATCCCGATTCATAGTGATCCCATGTGCTTCAGAGTAGAACTGTGCTCCCCAGGATTTTCTTTGCTGTAATCTTACTAAAGCAGATCACCAGGCCTTTCTTCCACAGCACTGCTGGGTGGATTCAAATCAGCAACCTTTCGGTTACTAGTTGAGAGCAAACAAATCATTTGCACCACCCAGGGACCCTACACTGAAGATAAATGGTATTACACAACTTTCAAATGCAAAACCAAGATGCAATCCGCCTCCAGTGGGCACTGCGATTTCCACAAGACAAAGAAGAAGGGTTCAGTCCCTTTTTTGGTTATGGAAATCCTCTCAGAGGTTGGCAGCTAGGTTCCCCTCCTAATTAGGCCTCAAATGACTGGATGTACAGAGGACACTGGCAGTAGCATCCATTTATTCTTGTAGAAATCAGAAACAAGGAGCTTATTGCCCAGCTTACTCGAAAGGCTTAAAACAGAAACTAGGAAGGAAATTGGAACCTGGTTCCTCCTGGTCCTATGTTTCTGAGAGTCACAAAGCAGTTTTTAAAAAGGACTTTTTTATTGAAGGGTAAAAGCTTAAATTGACCTATGCTATGTACTTGCTACACTGGCAAATCCTTATAATGTGTCTAAATCATAACTAAATTCCTGTTAACCCTTTATTCCATGGATATAATAATCCCTTATTCAACCTTAGCAATGAGGTCTCATCTGAAAAGCTGGCAAGTTGCTCAGAATTAACTCTGAGGGAATGCCATTAGAAAACGTAGACTGGCTCTAAGTTAAGATTTACATGTGAGCTTAAAAAATTATTATTAAATATTAAACATTTCTGTTAAAACCATTTTGCAAATACTATCAACACTACATGCATATCTAAGAGATAATGGTTACACAAAGTTTCCTGAGCAAAAGTAGTATTTACTAAGTGTGTATAAGAAGGACAAGCAGGCAGTTACTTTCTTCCTGTAGTCCTCTTCCGAAAAATAAACTCTTAAAATCTTCCTGGCACTTTAGAGACTACTAATAAAATAAAATAACTTTATTTTACTAAAATGCTCATAGTGTCTTCTGTTTTCTTTGACTGCTTCGCGGGTTAAGAAATTGCTCAGGACTGAAGGGACCCTGGAAGACATGGCCCCTGGACTCTCTGTTAGCCCAAAACTAAAACCATTCCCAAGGCCGACTCTTCAGACAAAAATTAGACTGGACTATGGGACATAAAATGATACTTGTGAAGAGTGTGCTTCTTGGCTCAAGCAGATACATGGGGACTCAATGGATAGCTCCTATCCGGTGAGATGGGAAGGCAGAGAGGGTCAGGAGCTGGTTAAATGGACATGGGAAATCCGGGGTAGAAAGGAGGAGCGTGCTGTCACAGTATAGGGAGAGCAACAAGGGTCCCATAACAATGTATGTATAAATTTTTGTAGGAGAGACTAACCTGAATTGTAAACTTTCACTTAAAGCACAATAAAAAAAAGAAAAGAAAATTGCTCAAAATTCAGTATCTCCATTTGCAACAAAAATTTAAAATACTTAAACTTTAAATAAGTTTACATATATTGTTTGAAATGTTTGCTTTTAATTTTAATATGGAAGAAAAAAATGATTACCAAATAAGTTTACCCACACTAATAATCAAATAAATTCTAATTAAAACATGGCTTTATATTCTCTTTATTAAGTTGACAATTGTAATACACAGTGTTGACAACAGTATAACGACCTGCATACTCTCATACAAACACTGTGTTGTTGTTAAGTGCCATCGAATCGACTCTGACTCACAGCAACCATCTGACAGAGTAAAACTGCCCCATAGAGCTTCCTAGGCTGTGATCTTTATGGAATCTCCCTCGGAGCCACTTGGTGGGTTTGAGCCACCAACCTTCTGGTTAGCTGCCAAACACTTTATCATTGTGTTTCCCGGGCTCCTTATATAACACTAAGAAAGTATAAAAGTCGAACCTTTCTGGAAAGCAACTGGGCAATCAGTACCCAAAGTCTTAAAAAGTATTCTCTACTCTGTGACTTATTCCTCTTACGTAATTTATTCCAAGGAAGAAATAAGAAAATGTGTAAAAAGATGTATATAAGAATGTTCACAGAAGAGCAACTTAAAATACAGAAAAACTAGAAACTTAAATAATAAGAGATTTAATTCTACCGTCTCATTAGGAGCCCTGGTGGCATAGCAGTTGAGAGTTTGAATTCACCAGCCACTCCTTGGAAACCCCATGGGCCAGTTCTACTCTGTCCTATAGGGTTGCTATGAGTTGGAATAGACTCAGCAACAGGTTTGGTTTGGTTTCTGAGTCTCATTAAAAAAATCGATGGGTACACCATTGGGCTTCTTTTTGAAGCTCCGTTTTTGGATTTTAGCCCTGGTGGCACAGTGGTTAAGAGCTGGGCTGCTAATCAAAAGGTCAGCGGTTGGTTCAAATCCACCAGCTGCTCTTTGGAAACCCTGTGGGGCAGTTCCACCCTATCCTATAGGGTCGTTATGAGTCAGAATTAACTCGACAGTAACAGGTTTGGTTTGGGGTTTTTTTGGATTTTATAATGCTACACTATATCACGGTTTTCCTAAGTCTCTGACTACTCTCCTTTTCACTGGCTGTGCTTGCTCCTCATACCCTGCTGTTGCGTGTTCTCTACCATCTCCTTTGGAGAGTTAGCATCCACTCTCACTGCTTCAACTGTATCTTCTGTACAAATAAATCTGTGCCCACGTTCTAGTCTGGCATCTGTTTCTTCCTTCTGTAGCATAATCTAATTTGTTACACAGTGACACACAAAAGGCTTAAACTAATCTAAATTCACAAACAAATCATATGTAAATCAGTTGAAATGTCAATATAATTTTGTCATGTAGCTTTGAAGCATTTTTTTCCAGACTTAAGCAGTTGAAGATTAATGGCTCTGACCATAAAAGTCCACTTTTTAAGACAGCAAAGGAGGTATATAAAGACTACCATATTTTTCAGAATTACTTACTCTTGGATAAGGAAGGCCACTGGTAGTATTAAAAGCTGGTAAAAGTTTGTAACCCAATTGCTTTGCCATTTGGAGAAGTTCATCATTGTACCACTGCATGTACTCGCCTTTTTCTTTCAGCATGATTGCCAATGAATGTCCACCCAAAAGACCCCTACAATTGTAGATATGAAATATTATTCACATCTTAAAGATACTTGAAAGTCATCACCTAAAAAAGGTACATTTTATTATCAACCATTTAGCACACATAAGGAAAGAATACAGAAAACTGAATTCTTTACCTAACCTATTATGATGGCAAATCATTAAAACTGTAAAATTATATACATATATAAATAATATTATACATATATATATATATAAATCTGATGTTTGGCATTCTTAAATATCATGTATTTTCTTAAAATAAAGAATATTCTAGAAATAAAATTTACTTTAACAAATCTGACAAATTTAATAGATTTTAATTTAATGTAATATATTTAATTATATAAACATAAAAAAAATTTAAAAATCCTGCCCTGTATTAAATGTAATAGACTTAAACTCTGTGAAAAGCTAAATTTTTTAACTTAATGATTTTTTAAATCTAATTGAAGAATAGATCACTTTAGGTGTCTGACAAGAGAAACAGGTTACAAGGACAAAAAAGAAATCATTACTGTATTTTTACAAAAACATGCACATTATACATTTTTTGCCAACCGTACAACCCTCTGTCACGCATTATTTTCCAAGGTGCGCTATGCACATTATACGTGTGGGAGCATTATTCACGTTGGCAAGTTATTTGCAAAAAAGACAGTAAATATAAAACTAATGTTGAAACTTTAAAAAATCCTGTAAATCCAAATTTTTAAAGATCCCAATAGCATTTCAAACTGTTCAGATGAGAGGTAATCTTATTAGTTCTTTCTCATTCAGCTTCTCTGAAGAGATGCTAGCTAAGGTTAGCAAACTATGTGAGCAAGTAAAGAACCTGTGATGTACCCAACATGACAAATGTTCAACCCTCTCGTCCTTTCCTAACAATGCACAAGGATTACCTTTGACTTAAGTCTACAACTGTTTCCAAAGCCTGCTGCTCTCTGTGACTAGTCAATGCTAGGGCATCCCACAGCCTCTGTATTTCATAACATCTAAATGTTTATCTCTTAAACGTAAGAAACTTCTTGCTTTATTTCCATCAAGTAATAAACAGTATACTCTAAGCTTTTCTGTTATTAAAATTACAGCTTTAGTATCTTTCATACTTACCCAAGAACTCTGATGTTTGTTTCAAAGACTGATACAACTACATCATTATCTAAATTAACATCTCTTAAAACTTTTTTCACCGCATCTTCAAATTCTTTAGTTTTATTTAATACCTAGGAGAAGAAAATTATTAAAATAAAGTTCCTTTCTATCAAGTCAACAAGAAATATCCTCAGAATGAGCCACTAAAAGTTAATATACTTTAAGACTCTAAAAAGGACGAAGAAATTATAAAATATAAAATATTATAAAAATGTGGTAATATCCGAAAAAAATTAAGTGTCCAAACACATTATATGGAATCTTTATATGTATCTTTTTTAGTCACACTGAAATATCATTAGACTTCAAAACTGTTACTGGTTTCTTAATATAAACCCATGGCCTGCAGATACATGAGACAAACTCTAGAGATTTGGTTTCCAAGTCAAAACAAACATCCTATTCACCAAACACCATCTTAAAATTGCTTACTCTCAGAAGAAAGCACATCCTCCAGGTGATGATCAAGCGATCCTAAATCATACACCGCCTGCTTTCTTCACCTCACAGATGCTCCGTTCCCTTACTAAGGAGGCAGCATAATGTGGTTAAAAGCAAGCCCTATTCTGAATTCTGGTTCTTTGTCTACCTTTGTCATCCCAGCCAAGTCACTTCCATCTCTGAGCCCATTTCTTCATCTACAAAATGAGGAAATATCTACTCTCATAGGGCTGTTTTCTTAAATAAAAATAAGATAATGTATTTAAAGTACTTTTAGTACAGTATCTGACTTCAGTGTTTAATGTCATTACTATTATTATTATTATCACGTGGGTGTGGAATCCTGCATAAGCTAAGAACTCTGTGGATTCCTGCAATGAGCTCCTTGAAAGGTGGGGTGGGGGGTGGGGCTGGGTCACTGTTATTACACAGGTGACTTGTGTAATAACATCTGTGTTATTTAGATTCTAGATTAAAAGTAACTTTCCTTTATTTGACTGTTTTGATTATCTTTTATAGTACTTTTTTACTTGATTCGATACCTTCAATAAAAATTCTAATTCTATTCCACAAGAGTGTCTCTGATTAAAATTCAAATAAAAGTAAAATTTAGGTTTAGTCCCAAGTAAAATGTACTATGAAACCCATTTTTAAACTAACTGCTTTCCTTTTTCAATCTCAAAGTTCATGCAAGCTCTGCAGCAACAAACGTTGGTGCAGACAGCCCTTCTAGCACTTTTAGAATAGGCCACAGTGGTTCACACAAATACACGCTTTTTTTTTTTTTAGCTTTTTATATATTTTTTTATTCTACTTTAGATAAAAGTTTACAGAACTAGCTTCTCATTAAAACAGTACACATACTGTTTTATGACACTGGTTAACAACCCTATGACATGTCAACACTCTGCCTTGTTGACCTTGCGTTCCCTATTACCAGCTTTCCTGTCCCCTCCTGCCTTCTAGTCCTTGTCCCTGGACTGTTGTGCCCGTTTAGCCTCGTTTTGTTTTATGGGCCTGTCTAATCTTTGGCTGAAGGGTGAACCTTGGGAGTGACTTCATTACTGAGCTAAAAGGGTGTCCGGGGGCCATACTCTTGGGGTTTCTCCAGTATCTGTCAGGCCAGTAAGTCTGGTCTTTTTTTGTGAGTTAGAAGTTCTACATTTTTCTTCAGCTCTGCCTGGGACCCTCTACTGTGATCCCTGTCAGAGCAGTTAGTGGTGGTACCCGGGCACCATCTAGCTATACTGGACTCAGTCTGGTAGAGGCCATGGTAGTTGTGGTCCATTAGTCCTCTGGACTAATCTTTCCCTTGTGTCTTTAGTTTTCTTCAGTCTCCCTTGCTGCCGAAGGGGTGAGACCAGTAGAGTATCTTAGATGGCTGCTCATAGGCTTTTAAGACCCCAGGTGCTACCCACCAAAGTAGAATGTAGAACATTTTCATTATAAGCTATGTTACATACATACACATAGTTTTTAATATCGCTTTGCTAACATTATTCTTCTCCCTAGGTCTATCTTCAGAGAATTCTTCCCCTTTGAACTCTTAACTTGTATTCAGACTTCCTCCCATTTAGTTTCTTTCAGGTCTGAACTGTTCTTCTAACAGAAAAAAATGGCTTTTTTCCCCTTCTTACCGAAATCAAAACAATCAAGAATAGTACCAACGCTATTTGTCTCAAAGAAGAATAAAAGAAGGAAAAGAGCTTTCCTTGCCTATAATTAGTTAGAAAATTTATTCTAAAGCTCTGTTAGTTAAAATGAGCTTCTTAAGTTCCAAGCTGATAACAAAGGATAAATTCAGGTCTCATACTTTCCTGCATTATGTTTAATTTGTTTCAATATGTTTCTCTCTACAGATTTCACAGTAATGTCAAATTTAAAGGTAAGTTTAAAGTTTTAGTGCTTAACTCTGTTAAAATCAATAGAAACCAGATGGCTGGACTTATGAACAACAGTTTAAATTTAAAGATCAGACTCTGACAATATAAACATTACTTAACTTACTATGATATGATCAAAATAAAAATAATACGGTTGTATGTACTGCCACAGTGATATGTCCTATTGATATTTTCAAATAACTAAATCACTAAATGAAAAAATAATCACACTGTAAAGGAAATATTAATAATTCAGAAATATTAATTCTTGCATTCAGACAAAATATACAAGATAGCATTCCTTCTAAATGTAGACCCCTTTACTGAAAAATATACTGTCAATATAATATTATTACTCGATACCTTTCAGGAAATTCTCTTCTTAAGGAAAACTTCCAAACTAATTTCCTATAATTCTTCTATTCAAATTAGAAAGAAAATACTTAAGATAATGACAAAAATTAAAATGATTTGTATATTTCAAAGCCATGATGGTATATAATACATTTTTCAGTTATTCCCACTTGAAAAAGAAGAAATTTAAAGGGCTTATAAAGTATCCTTTTTAAATGTCTGTGAGACTTTATCAGTCTTTCTTCTTGACTTCTCTTGAAGACACCTTCAACAAACAGAAGTTATTTATTTAAATTTGAACCAAAGATCTGACAGAAATAACATCTTAGGTTGATACAGACTTTAGACATCTAGTCTAGGATCTTCTGAGATGAAAACAGGGACCCAGAGAAGTTAAATAATTTGTCCAAGATCACACATATCTATACAGTGTGATCACGTCTTGTTACTCCCTGCCACAAGGAGCCAGAATTCACGTTACACTGTAGTCTCATTACTCAAAGTGTGGTCTGTGGACTACCAGCAGTGGCAGCAGTGCAGCAGCCAGTTAACTATTAAAAATGTAGACTCTTGGGCTCCCCCCTTGAATCTACTGAATCAGAACCTGCATTTTTAACAAGATCCCTAGACAAGTTGTAATACTCTGAAGCTTAAAAAGCACTGCAAACTTTAGCCTGCATCAGAATGACCCAGAGGACTTGTTAAGACAGACTTATCACCAGTTTCCAATTCAGTATATCTGGGCTGAGGCCCTAGAATCTGCATTTTCTAACAAGTTCCCAGGTGACGCTGATGCTGATGGTCCTTGGACTATATCTTAAGAGCCATCACCAAAGTGTATAATTGGTAAAATCTGAAGGATATCAACTTTAAAATAATTAATAGCTGCTTAATTAGATAGGCTGATAGATTTTTTCATGTTATACAGCTCTGGAATCAACTCTTCTCTTTCAAAAATTTTTAAAAACCTGAGGTCAGTATTCATGCAAATCAACTAAGAGCTTACAGAGAGATGATGAGGAACCTACTAGTGGGTTCAGAATGAAACTAAGATGACAGCATGAGAAACAAACTTAAGGCCACCCATGGTCTTTCCTAAGGCACAGCTACTGCTCCTCACTTACTCCCCCATATCAAAATACACCTGGTGTACATAACTCAGCTAAAGGTTACAAAGAAACATACCAGTTAGTTTCTCTCAGGGTGGTGATTTGTGCCTCCCGGGATATTCCCTTCTCCTATTATACACTGAACACCTAGGACCACTAACCCCAAAACAGGACATACGATGTTCTCTCTCGTTCTCATAATTATTAGAACATAATTTGCACATTCCATTAGTTTCGAGAAAATGGCCCAGCTAAGATAGTTCTAAAACAATGCTTCCTCAATCATGGCTGCACTGTAAAGTCACAAAAGAAGCTTTAGAGAAATAAATAATAAGGGCCAGCCCTACTCTAGAACAATTAAATCATAGTATCTTGGGGAACAGCTATGGTATGTTTTCAAAAGTTCTCAGGTGGTCCCAAGGTACTGGTAGAGTTGAGAATCTCTGGTCTAACAAAAAACATCCCAATAAAAGAATACAGAAATAATACCGTGTAGAAAAGCCTGGTTCCAAATAATTTCTGCTCCCCCAAAGTTTTGTTTTTAATATTAATCAGTACTTGGGACATTACCTCGAAGATGAGAACAACACCTTAAATAAAACCCTGAAAAAAGCCTACTTTTTATACCATAAATGATCTGAGAGTGAAAAAACTAGACAGATACCACATTTAGAAACCATGACATCTAGAACTCAATCTTTCCTCTCTGCCATAACAAACAGCCCCAACCAGAATTAATTAAAATTCTGCATCCCATGAGGTTGAAAAGGAGTGCCAAGAAGTGATCGCTTTGAGCTAAAAGTAACTGCTAGCGAAAATAAATTTTTATTTATGAGAATAACATATAAAAAATTCAACAATTTCAGTATTATTATGGCATGTTAGTTTTGAACAAGAATGTCAACGGTATTTTCGAAAATTTCTTTTCTTCTAATAGCATCAACTTCCTTGTCCAAGGAAAGAAACCTAACTTACTACTTCCTGATTAAGGTGCCATCACATAAACTGACATTACCACAAATCGTGAGTATCTCCATTATTCTAGATAATTCTATTTGACATCCACTTGACATTAGCAACCCAACAGTGTGAAAGATTTCTTTAAAGCAAATATCAGAACATCTTAATATCTGAAGGCTTCTGTTTCAAACAGGACACAGTAGAACTGCTTCATAGGGTTTCCAAGGAGCGGCTGGTGGACTTGAACTTCTGACCTTTTCGTTAGGAGCTGAGTTCTTAACCACTGTACCAACAAGGCTCCATTTCATAATTACTGTGTTATGATTATACTCATAATACTTGAGTATGCACATTATGAAATTTATAAAATAAATACAAAAACAATCAAACATACCACAAGAGTGTCCAATGAATCAATCAGTGTCAGAGAAAATCTAAGAAACAAGTATAACAAGATACAAAACATTAGAATTCTAAATATTTTATCCATGAATGTATAAGCTGACTTATCTGCATTCTATTGACTGACAAACAGAAAAACAAAACCATTGCCGTCGAGTCAATTCCGACTGATAGCGACCCTGTAGGACAGAGAAGAGCTGCCCCACAGAATTTGCCCCATAGAATTTCCAAGGAGCACCTGGTGGATTCAAACTGCCCATCTTTTGGTTAGCAGCTGTAGCTTTTAACCACTATGCCACCACGGTTTCCCTACTGACTGATAGTTTCTATTAACTAATACAATATAATCAGTAAAACACTGAAAGAAACTGAAAAGCCATTTATGTTCAGCGTATCTCACGTCTTTCAAGATGAACAGAAACGTTCATTAGCTCTTTTTAAGCAAATGAAAAACAAAGCATCAACACATTATAATCTATTAATGACTTTACATACATTTTGAAAGTTATATCCAACTTAACAACTAGCTCAACTTTTCACAGATCTAAGAGGTAAACTGATAAATATTTTACAAACAATAACATAAGGAAATAAAAGAGCTTAATATAATAGTTAAAACAGTCTCTAAAATTTAGCCAATCCCCAGAAATCTGATTATAAACTGCCTCCTACACTTGGGTACTTTGAGATGCCATGTCAGCCCTTGCGTAAATACTCACTTTCCCAAGGCATCATCAACGTCACCCCGACTTGGCTCCTGGCCTCGAACTCGACCTCTGCAGGTTAAGGGCATGAGTTCATCAGCTGGGTAAGCATGTTCCTGCAAGGAAAACCTTAATGAGTCACTAAGAAAAACAAGACAAAACACACATCATTTAGAGATTACAACCTTTTCATACATTAAAAATGAATAAAGGATAGTCAAGTTTTACTATCCTTTTAGTTTGTGGAATCATTTTAAAAAATTTTAATTACAAGTGTAATACATGCTTGGAAAAATATCAAACAATGCAAGAAAAAAAATTTTTTTAACTAATAATCTGCTTTCCCTCCTTCCCTAGTAGTAACTACCATTAAGACCGGCACTTATCATTCCAGATTTTTCCATAATACATTCACATTCATATACACACCTCACTTTTATATTTTATTTACAGATATGTATTCATGCCATATATTGAAAACCCTATGGAGCACAGTTCTACTCTGACATACATGGGGTTGCCATGAATTAGAATTGACTTGCTTTCATAGTTTGGGTTTCATAGTTAGGGTTACTATCGTGAGTGGGTTTTTTTAAAGAATAATGATGACAGAGCATTTCCAGTCTAGATGGTGATGGTGATGAAGCAAATGCAGGAACCTTCCTTCCTACCCACTAGAAACACACTGAAATGTAAGATAAATTTTTTAAAATTATTTTTAATATACAGCTGAACTTGAGAGCAAGAAAAGAAATTTCAAGTACCAAAAGTGAGCAGTGGAGTGTAGGAGATGAAGCTGCACTAAGAACAACATGGGTATAAGGAATAAAGGCAGGTTTAGTGGGAGTTGTGGTAATACCCAAAGGGTATTGGAGTTGATGCTGCTGGCCCTGAATACCAGGAACTTGGCTCCTTAAAGTTGGGTGCTTGCTTCAGTGAAGCTGGGCTGGAACATCTCCACCTCCTGGTCCCTGGTCTTAACAGAAAAGGTAAGAAACAAATAAGAACAGAAAGACCTGCTGAACTTTGTATTTTCTTCACCAGGGGAAGAGTCCTTAAAAATTCCTCTAATATTAGTTATGAGAAACATTTAGAGGTTAGAATCATTGTGTTAATTAGATATTTCAACTTTAAACAACGTTTACTGCCTCCCTGCCATAATAATAAGATTAACACACTCATACTTTTTCCCGTTCAATTAGGATATTTTCAGTTATACTATTACAGCAGTTTTCACTTTGCATGGTTTCACTCTGCATGAGTTTCTAAGACCACAATTTAGTTAGATAATAACAGTCCCGCAACAACACGGTCCAAATTTCAGTTACCATGGTATATTAACTGTAACAGATCAGTCTTGAAACACAACTAGAATGCTCCTTAGAAGTGAAGATGGCGAGACTTCAGCTCGCTTACTCTCGTCACTTACGTCCGTTAGGAAAGACCAACTGCTAGAAAAGAACACAATGTTTGGTAAAGTAGGGAGTCCGTGAAAACGAGGGAAACCCTCCTGAGATGGACTGACACAAGAGCCACAAAAATGAATTCAAACATACCATCAGTCACGAGGATGGCATACGACCTGGCGCCATTTCATTCTGTTATACGTGAGGTCACCATGAGTGAGTCAACTTGACGGCAACCAACAACAAATTGCATAAAGTACAAACTCTGGGGCTCGCACTTCAGTTCACAAATCATTAAGTAAATAACAAATGCTTATCATGACTGGTGACCAGTCATATAGCTTCTTTCAAAGTACTGGTGATTGATCGCTCTGCATCTGTGATTCAGTTCACACCCTGACAGCATAGCACGCAGTTGTGTTGCCTCTCTGTCTCCCAGTGATAAACTTAGGTGATACTTTGACGTACGGATAACTGAACGAGGAAATTAGCTAACAAAAAAAAACTGCAGCAAAGAAACAAAAAATGGTAACACTAGAAGCTATGCAGCCAAAGGAGCTTAGTGACGGCTAAATTATTGACATAAACGAGCAAAGTGGTGGTGACGTAAAGCATGACGACTTCCCAGAAGAAATGATGCCCCGAAAAATCTTGTCGTCAAAGGAATTTTCAGAGATATTTCATGACATTCAAAGGTACAGAGAATCAAATGTTGGAAGCAGATCCAAAGTTAGAAAGGGGTATGGCAATTCATTCACCAAGGCATAGAAAAGATATCCACTACATATTTTACAACAATGAGAAAAAGGCAAGCACTGTTCAAACCAGTCTTGACAAGTTTTTTACAAAGAAAAAATTTCTCAAGGTTTCTAATATTTTGAATTATAATGTTCTAAATACTAGTTTTACTATTTTTTTCATTTCCCTATACATTTATAAGTAACAGCAAGTGTGTTTTTAATGTTTTGACAAAGATTATTTAAAGGTCACAGGACAACTGTCATTCTCCCCATTGATCACCATTACCACTTTGCACAATTTCAGCTTGCATAATCATTTTTACAGTCCTGCACTACTGTGCAAAGTGAGGACAGCCTGCATTTTTACAGTATCAAGGTTTATAACATTTGCATTCTGGTCTGTACATAATTCCCACAGTTGCTAGTGTCAGTACTCTACTTAAAATGAAGTCAACGTACACAACTTTTCTATGGCTACTACATTCTGAAGTTTTTATTCTGATTCATCTCTTGGTTGCCTGAACTCTGTCCTCAGCTAGTTTATGTTTGTTTGTTTATACAGAGGGGCCAAGGGTATTGTATTTTTCTGGTATTCCTTGGTTAGCTCTCTCTTCCCTTATACTTGCAGAACAATATGAATGATTTATAAAATGCCTGAGACATATTTTCTTTCCCTCAGAAATCTGAAGATACTATCCCACACTCTTGTATTCACTGAGCATTGCTATGGCAAAGTTTCTAAGACAAGCCTGATTTTTTATACCTTGTGTATGACTTCTTACTACTTGTATGCCCATAGGATTCTTTGTTAATTCTTAAAGTTCAGCAAAAATATTCCCGATTCCATATCCAACTCTATCCTACTGCCTCTCACTAAACTCAATTATCTGGATTCCAAACTCACAGCACATTAGCAGCAGAAAAACAGAATAGAAGCCAGGAACACTAAAGACACGGCCAACAAAAAGAGGCAAAAAAAAAAAAAAAATTAAAAGCAGACTAAAGAAAACAAAAAGCACTGAAGACTGCAACTCTTCAGGTATTTAGAAAAATTCAGTATTCTATAATTATTCATTCTCTGAAGGGAGGATTCCATGCAACAAATGTTTTGATATAATGAAAATCCACATTCAACTACAAATCCTGAATTCAATACTTTTTCATTTTAACATTACATATAATTTATCAGCATAAATTACTTTTACATTGTATCTTTTTATGTGTTAAATTCCTAATTACTTTTTCGTGTCTCGATTTCAAAAGAACCATGATTTCTGGGAATATGCATAGTTTTTATTCCTTTATAGTTTTATATTTAACACATAAACAACACTTAAAAGTAACTGAAGAAGAGTAATATTTTTTACAGTCCCTGATGTATTTTGAAAGATACTTTGTAAGTGATCATTCAAATGTTAATTTGGTCGTAAAGAGTTCCTTACTATTTAAACCACTGCTTAGAAATCTTTCATACTACTACTTTTAGAGTTTTGCAAAACCACACATACATGAACAGCTCTGTCTCAAATTAAATATGAAACTGAAACCCAGAGCTTATCCAGGTAAGAAAAAAATATTAATAGCAACTCAAAGCAGAATAATAAACAGGAGAGTTTTGAAACCAGGTGTAAAAATACTTTATGTCCCCTTGTTTCAAGATAAAGGATAAAAATAAACCATAGCATTTTCTTCAGGTTAACCACAAAGCAAACTACAGTTGGTTTGCATAAATCCAGTGCAATGCATACGTGGCAAATAAACAGCCTTATCAGGCTTCAACATTTCTGGCTATGTGAGATACTGTAACACTTCCTCTTTGCAATGTATTGCCAGAACTAGGGATAAGTTACTTCTACTGATGTGATTAGGAGTAACTAAAAACATCTAACTATCAGTCAGAATAAAACTCAGGTGACAAAAGAGTCCTATATAAATTAAGCAGAACATATGCCTAGCTAAAAGCAAAAGAGCAAAACCAAAAATTAAAAAAAAAAAGTAATCGCTCCATATCCCACTCTAAATTTACTGGGGCTTTGAGGTGACATAACTCTGCTCCAAACACTAAAGTCAAAGCAGCACTAAAAACTGACTTTTTAGTAAAACCAGTTTCAAAAGTAGGCAAAGGGAAGATTTATTCCACTAAAAATAATAAAAGAAAAACATTAACTAGGAAAGTGAGTTATTGAAAATATTAAATCTACTTAATTTCTAACAAAGTTATATGCATTTTAAATGTTTTATTGTTAAACACTTCTCTCCTTGAGACAGTAAGTTATTCCTTTGTAAAATAAAAATTAAAGAATTTATCAAATGATACTTAATAAATCACATATCATACATGCTAATTACTATTGAACCTGCAAATTTATCATTTCTCTTTTCACTCCTCCAGGCCAAATTTTCCTATTTCCTTTTGTTCATCATTTATAGTCACTAATCAATCTATTTTTCAGGTGTTTAGGACTCCATTTATCTAAACAATTAAACTATTAGACTCACTTCCTACACTGAACATTTACTGTTCTTTTAGGTGGCATATTTTATGGAATCCTTCTCAGCACAGAGGAGAAACAAGTAACAAAAATGCAGTTGTCTCACAAGATTTTAATTACTGCAGAATACAATGTTAACATAGTCTGTACTCAAAGTTAGATGAAAACAAGTTTCTAAGCTCTTCAGTATTATCTTAATTTGATTTTGGTCAATTGGAGTTATGAAATAACACTATATGAAACAAATAATGTTATATTAGATATTTAGATAAACAGTAAATAATAACATTATAATGAAATAAAATCATGCTATTATGTTAATGTTAATGGTGGCGCAGTGGTTATGTGTTTGGCTGCTAACCAAAAGGTCAGCAGTTCAAATCCACCAGCCACTCCTTGGAAACCCTATAGGGTAGTTCTACTCTGTCCTGCAGAGTCGTTATGAGTCAGAATTGACTTGACGGCAATGGGTTTTTATGTTAACAGATTTTTTAAAAGATCATCTCCACAGATGCAGAAAAGGCATTTGACAAAATTCAATACCCTTTCATTATGAAAATCCTCAGCAAACTAGGAATAGAAGGGAACTCACTCAACGTGACAGAGAGCATCTATGAAAAACCAACAGCTAAAATCATACTTAATAACAGAAAAATTAATTGCCTTCTCCCTAAGTTTAGGAGCAAGGCAAGGATCTCATCACTTCTATTCAATGTAATATTGGATGTCCTAGCTACTGCAACAGGCAAGAAAAGAAATAAAAGGCATATAGACCAGAAAGGAAGAAGTAAAACTCTCTGTTTGCATATGACACAATTTTCCATGTGAAAAATCCTAAGGAATCTACAAAAACCTACTAGAAATGGTAAGTAAGTTTAGCCAGGTTACAGACTATAAGGTCAATATACAAAAATTTCTTTTATTTCTATGTAACAGCAACAGATAATTGGAAATTAAAATTTGAAAAACTATAATTTAGAAGTATATAAAAAATATCTAATATTTAGGGATAAATTTAACAAAAGATGAGCAAGACCTATATACTGAAGACTACAAAACATTACTGAGAGACATTAAATAAGACCTAAATGAATGGACAAAGATACCACATTCATGGACTAAAAGACAATATTGTTAAGAATTCAATTCTCCCCAAAGTGATCTATAGATTCAACTTAATCCCAAGCAAAAGCTCAGCAGACTTTTTTGTAGAAACTGGCAATGCGATTCTAAAATTTACAGAGAAATACAAAGAACTTAGAATGAGCAAAAGAAAGCAGACAGACTTACATTGCCTGATTTCAGGACTTACTATAAAGCTACAGTAATCAGACAGTGTGGTATTGACATTAAGGATAATTTATTTAGATCACTGGAACAGAACAGAAAGTCTAGAAAAAAGCCCAGGCATATATAGCCAGTTGATTTTTTACAAAGGTGGCAAAGTAATTCAACAGGGAAAGGATATTCTTTTCAACATATGCTGCTGAAACAACTGGATACCCCCACAGAAAAAAATAAAAATCAACCCTTACCTCATACCATATACAAAAATCAACTCAAAATTGGCCATAGATCTAAATGAATAAGCAGAAACTATAAAACATCTAGAAGAAAATATTTGTGACCTTAGGCTAGACAAATATTTTTTAGGCAGGACATAAAAAGAATGAATCATAAAAGAACTAAATGATAAATTAGATTTGATAATAATTTAAAACTCTGCATTCAAAAGATACTCTTAAAAAAATTAAAAGGTAAACCACAGACTGGAAGAAAATATCTGCAAAACATATGTGATAACGGACTGATATCCACAATATACAAGAAACACTTAAAACTGAGTAATAATAAGACAAATGACCTGATTTTTAAAACAGGCAAAAGATCTGAACAAACACTTCACCAAAAAAGATACTACAAATAGCAAATGAGCACATGGAAAGATTTTCAACATCATTAGTCATCAGGAAAATAAAATTAAAATCATAAAATAATACAACTAAACAGTCACTATACCACGTGTACCCATTGCCTTCGAGTCAATTCTGACTTACAGAGACCCTATCGGACAGGGTAGAACTGCCCCACAGGGTTTCCAAGGCCATAAATCTTTATGTAAGCAGACTGTCACATCTTTTGCCTGCAGAGTGGCTGGATTCGAACCACCAACATTTCAGTTAGCAGTTGAGCGCTTAACCACTACACCACCAGGGCTCCTAAAACATCCACTAGAATCGTTAAAATTAATGAGACTGAAAATACGAAGTGTTCAAGAGGATGAGTAGTAACTGAATCTTTTATACACTGCTGGTGGGGAATGCAAAATGTTATATCCACTTTAGAAAAGTTTGGAAGTTTCTTATAAAGGTAAACATACTTACCAATGACCCAGCAATGGTCCCATTTCTAGGTGGTAAATATATGAAAACATACGTTCATACAAAAACTTTACTCACGTGTTCATAGTACCTTTATTAATAACAGCCCCAAACCAGAAACAAGCCAAATGTTCATCAACTGGTGAACGGAAAAATAAGCTGTGTTCTAACAATTCAACCGAATATTACTGAGCAATAAACAGAAACTACTGATGCATCCAACAACCAGGATAAATCTCAAAAGCATTATGGTAAATGAACGAACCTATATCAAAAGACTAAATACTGTATGATGCAATTTATATAAAATCCTAGAAAACTACAGTGACAAAACACATATGAATGATTACTAAGAGTCAGAGGTGGGTATAAGAGACTGATACAAGGAAACTTTTTGGGGTGATGGAAATGTTCTAAATCACGATTGCAGTGATGATTAAATAACTGTATAGATTTGTCAAGAACTGAGAATTATACACTTAAAACTGTAATTTTATTACTGGTAAATTATACCTCCATAATGTTGATTAGAAGTCCCTGGGTAGTGCAAATGGTTAATACACTCGGCTGCTAATCAAAAGGTTGGAGGTTCGAATCCAGCCAGAGGGATCTTGGAATAAAGTCCTACTGATCTACTTCCAAAACATCAGCCATTGAAAACCCTATGGAGCACAGTTCTACTGTGAAACACACTGGGTTACCATGAGTTAGAACTGACGCACTGGCAACTGGTTTTAATGCTGATTAAACAAAAAGTACTCCTCCTACTAAGTTCAAATCCTGTTTAGAGTATCCAAGTCTAATTAAAAACACTGAGAGGACACTATAGACTTTCTTATGCAATTATGGTAGGGTTTTAGGATGTTCAAAGAGTAGAGGCCATGGAACAATGGCTAACACAAAGCAGTCCCACAAGGGTCTATGCAAAGAGTCAAATATAAGTCATTAGTGCCACTTCTAAGCTACCTTGTTTAGAATTACTCTTTTTGATGAATAACCTATTAAAAAGAAACATTAGGAAAAGAAAAGAAGCATTACCAAGACAAAACACGAATCTAGAAATCCAGAGTAACTTACATTTTCACATAGTTCCTTTGGTTTGAATGATAAAGACCATCTATTCTTTCTTTGGGAGAAAGGACCTGGAGCTCTGCTCCCATAAAGATTTACAGCCTAGCAAACTCTATGGGGCAGTTCTACTCTGGCCTATAGGGTCGCTGAGTCAGAACTGACACAATGGCACACAACAACTGTTTCTTTGAACTGGGCTGTCACGAAATCAAGCTTAAAGGTGTTTATTAGGTATGAGCCTACAAACTGAAGGAAAGAGTGCCTACCAACTCTTTTCAAGTCTATTTGTAATGTATAGAACTCCACCAAAGTACAGTTTTTGCTTACTAGTATGACAGTTTGAGTTGTCTACAGTAGACAGGACAAAATTGGAAGACAAAGATCAGATCACAGATCTCAAATCCAAAATCAATTCTGCATTCAGGTGGCCCAAAGACATGTCATTTTTGTCATCTAAACTGACCTGCAAACTGAACTCAGCACAAATACTCAACACATGCTAACGGAAGTCCTAAAGTGGTTATGGTCTGGGGTTAAATAAGGTCACACACAACAACTGCCAAAACAAACATCAAATTTTATGTTATGTGTGGAAGAGAAAGCCATCGTCCAATTCACTGTGAATGAACTGTGCAGTCTGACTGGGGCTACAGCTCTGTCAAACACAGTTGTTAAAATGTTAATAGTTATGCCTATAATTGATAAAATCAGAAAATCCCTGGCAGTGTAACTCCACAGATGGAGATCAAGTAATTCACCTAAAGCTGGGGGAGCAGCGTTATAAAGAAACAGCACTAAAAGAACCTTGGGGACCAAAAAAAGGAAAGGAAAAAATAAGTTCAAAGGTCACATGCCCAGAACAGGAAAGAATATGGGTACTTTAATGAACGTCTATGTACGATCTAGGGAGCAAGTTATGAGTTAAAGCCCAGATGAATCTTAGGAAGGCAATTTCCATATCAGACATAAAATGAATAATAATGATAGTCATAGCAGTAGTAAACTCTTATACAGTGCTTCCTATTTGCCAAACACTAGTTCTAAGAACTTTAACTATATAAATTTATTTAATCCTTACAACAACGTTGGGAGGCAGGGAAACCACTACCTATCTCCATTTTACAGAGATGGGGAAACAGGCTCAGGGAGATTAGGTAACCCCCCTTGTAACCCAGCTAGTAGAGAGCACTGCCAAGAGATTCACATGCAGGCTATCCTCCATTTCCAGAATTCTTGCTCTTACTTGTATTACACTGCTTGTCTTTGGAAAATAAAATTGTTTTCCTAGGAACCAAGAAGGTTAAAAAGAATTGTTCTAATCGTGGACTAGACTCAAGAGCAATATTACAAAGAACTAGTAAGAAATGAGGAAAAACCTTGAACATTTATTAAAAACCTACCATGTGTCAGGTATTTTACATTTTAGCAAAGTAGGCAGTTAGCTACAACAAAGCAAATTATCAACCTCAAAATTCACAATAAAATGTTCTAAAAAATCTTAGAGTCTACAATGTTGTTGTTGCTGTTAGGTGCCATCGAGCCAATTCTGACTCACAGCAACCCCATGTGACAAAGCAGTGCTGCCCCACAGGGTTTTTCTAGGCTTTAAGGGAACAGACTGCCAGTTCTTTCTCCAGCAGAGCTGCTGGTGGGTTTGAACTGCCAACTTCTGGGTTAGCAGCAGAGTACTTCACTGCTCTGCCACCAGAGCTCCTTACCCTTTGCAATTATTCCTACTTTACATAGGAATATAATGCTCAGAGAGATTAAATAATATACTTAGGGTCCAAGCTAGTAAACAGTAGAGCTAGGATTTAAAATCAAACCCATCTAAGTCTAAAACCTATACACTTTTACTCTATAGCAAGTGTCCCCGGATTGAATTATCTTCCCCCAAAAATGTGTTTATCAGTTTGGCTGGGCCATGATTCCTGGTATTGTGTGATTTTCCTGTATGTTGTAA